GCACATGTTCTTTTAGCTCTGAGAAGTTTGTTATTACCCACCTTCTGAAGCCTGTTCCTGTCAATTTCATCAGATTCATTCTCCATCCATCTTTGATCCCTAGCTGGTGAGGAGTTGTGATCCCTTTGAGGAAGGAGAGGTGTTCTAGTTTTTAGTGTTTTCATCCTTTTTGTGCTGGCTTCTTCCCATCTTAGTGGCTTTATCTACCTGTGGTCTTTGTAGTTGGTGACTTTCAGATGGGGTCTCTGAGTGGATGTCCTTTTTGTTGATGTTGAAGCTATTTCTTTCTGCTTCTTAGTTTTCCTTCTAACAGGCCACTCTGCTGCAGGACTGCTAGAGGTCTAGCCCAGATCCTACACACCTAGGGATCACTCATGGGGGCCGTAGCACAGCAACGGTTGCTGCCAGTTTCTTCCTCTCCTATCCTTGTCCCAGAGGGTACCTGCCAGATGTCGGCCTGAGCTCTCCTTTATGAGGTATCTCTTTGGGTATACGGGGGTCAGGGAGTTGCTTGAGGAGACAGTCTGTCCCTTATAGGAGCTCAAGTGCTGTGCTGGGAGCTCTGTTGTTCTGTGAAAAGCTGCTGGGCAGGTACCTTTACGTCTGCTGCAGCAGAACTCATAACCACCTCTTTTTCCAGGTGCTCTGACCTGAAAAGTTGGCTTTATTTATAAGTTCCCGATGTGCTTGCTGCCTTTTTTCATAGATGCCCTGCCCCACACGGAGTAGTCTAGTCACAGTCTGCATGCGGAGGAAATGCTGAGCTGCCGCAGGCTCTGCCCAGTTGCTGTGTGAACTGCCTTGGTAGTGGGGGACGCCCTTCCCCCCACTGAGCCCCAGTTGAAACGGCTGCCCAGACTTGTGTGAGTTTCTGTGCGTCGACCGGGCACTGGCTGAAACTGCCGCACTGAAAACTCGTGGTGCTTTTTGGCCTGGGAATCTCCTGGTCTGTGGACAGTGAAAGCTTCTTTGGAAATGTGGTGAGCACTCACCTCTGTGCTGTTCTTGCTGGGAACTGCACTCTGGAGCTGTTCCTATTCGGCCATCGTGGTTCCTCCCCCTTGAGTCCTATTTTATGCTGTTGTTTTTAGCAGTGAAGTTTTCATCTAGCAAGATATCAGCAAACCTCATACCTAGTAAGAAGTAGGGGGTTGAATTTGTTAAATATTTATCTTTCATATTTCATCACTATTTACTTTACAGAGATAATGTGATGTCATGAATAAATACCAACATTGGAATCAGAACTCCCAGGTTCAAGTTCAAAGTCCACCAATTTTACTTGCTGTGTAATCTTGGACAAACATGTAATCTCTCTGGGTCTCAGTTTATAACACTGTTAAAAAGAAGATTAAGATACCTACCTCACAAGATTTCTGTGGGAATTAAATTTGACTAATGCAAAATTCTGTGTCTAGAATATAGTAAATGCTCAATAAATAATAAGTATCATTGTTGCTGCTGTTACAGCATTCAATACAGCTTTATAACCTATTAAGTTCTAAACTATGAAACTTAATGATTTGTATGTGAAATTATAAGAAACCATTTTGTATCTCTTGGGATCTCCTTTATTTGCAAATGAGAGAAACCCAGCTAAATGACTTTTTTTCATTCAACAAACACTGAGCACTTCTCTTTGCCAGAAGCTATTCTAGATGCTGAGGTTAATAATAGTAAAAACACAAAGTCCCTTGTTATATGATACTTACATTCTAGTTAGAAAGAGACAAAATATAAAGGAAAAAAATAAAAAGAATATCAGATTGTGATAAGATACTTAACCTAGTATACAGAGTGTTACTAAGGAATCAGAGATAACTTAGATTTAGGGGACAGAGAAGTCTTCTCTGAGGCATTGGAATGATGAAAAGAAACCAGTCATGCAAACATTCTGGGCAGAGATGAGAAAATGCAAAGGCCTTAAGGCAGAGAGCAAATTTGACAGTTTCAAGGAAAGAAGATTTAATTAAGGAAGAAGATGAGTCAGAGAGATGGACAGGGGCCAGATCATAGAGTCTTGTAAACCACGATAAGAAGCCTGGATTTTATTAATTATTGTAGAAGTTATTGTAGAAGTAATTGTAGAAAGTTAAAGCACAGAAATTGCATTATCTCATTCAGATTATAAAAAGAGTGCCCTATGTGCTGTGTGGAGTTGGAGAATGTGTTATAGGTTGTCAAGAGTAAAAGCAAGGAGACCAGTTAAGAAGCTGTTGTGATAGACCAGGATGTGAAAAAAAAGAGAAGAAAAGAAGTAGACAGATGGGAGATTATTTTAGAGGTAGAACCAGCAGGATTTGGTGATAAATTGGATGTTGGAGGTGCAAAATAGGGAGGAATCAAGGATGACGCTCAGGTTTCTGGACTGAACCACTGAAAAATGCAATTGTTCGTACTATTTACTGAGATGGGAAAGACCAGGTAGGGGATAGGGGCGGAGAGGAGAGGAGAGGGATGAGTGTTGTGTTAGACAAGTCAGAGCAAAATGACTACCAGACAGTGGAGAGTCTTTGTTGATCAGGCAGCCAGATCTATGGGTATAGAGGTAAGGGCTACATTTATAAATTTACAAGCCATCAGCATACATTACATTTAAAGCCATGAGACTAAATGAGATCACCAAGAGAGTCAATAAAGACAAGAAAATGGTTTGGGACTGAACCTTGGGGATGCCAAGATTTAGGAGTCATTTAGAAGAGGGTGATCCTGGGATAAGAGGCAATTCATTAGCCCAATAAACACTCAGTTTTGGTAAGAGTGGATCTTACCTCAGGGACAACAACATTCAAGGTCCACAGTGCCGTTGGAGTGTTGCCATCCTTCTTTGCCACTCTGGGTTCTCTCTCTCTCTCCCCCTCAATCTTTCAACTCAGTCCAATCCCATCTGTAGTCTTCATTACAGAATTTTTCTATTTGAAGGAAACATAGCCACAGGCAGCTCTGAATTTCATCTTAGAAAAAGAAAGAGTCTTCCTCCCAACTTAAGTGTGAAATATCCTATGGAAGATCACTGATTCGTCCAAGTTTGGGTCACAAGCCCATCCTTGAACCAATCACAGGCCGGGAGACCACAGTAACACAACTGATTGGCCCTGCCTAGTTCTGTGCTTCCTGGGGTCTAGCATGGACTTTCTTAAGAGGAAAGTAGCACACTTGCAGTTGCTGATAGAGTTACTGAGCCAGGCAATCTCTTATTATTTTTTTTAAATAATTATTTTTTCTTTGTTCATGCATATCAACACCTGTGATAGGCAGCCTTTTGAAATTTGAGTCTAATTCCTAATTGTAAACGTGATGTGTCTGTCTATATCTCCAAATACAGTGTGACATGACATGATGGCTTGGGTTTTAGTTCTTCCTCATTTGATATCTTTAATCAAGTTTAAATAAATACACTTTCTCTTATCTAAAGTTGAGATTGATGTACTCAACAATTATACTGGAAAGTAAAATGAGTCATTGGAAAAAAAAAGAGACAATTTTAAAAAACCCAGAGAATTAAGAACCTTCCGCAGGCACAGAACCATCTGATTCCAGGGGTGATGTGTTTACAGAGAGGCCATGGTAAAGCAGGGCCTGCAGGTCCCCAGGGTCTTCCTTGCAGATCAGTATCTCTCAAGGAAGATCAGAGGACTACTTCACCACCACCCTATCTACTCAGGGCTCTCCCGCCTCTAATAGGCTCAGCCAAGGCCAGAGGCAGGGGCCACACGGCCTTTGTCAATTGTTCTGTATGCTCAGTAATTGCCTTTTTGATTCTCGCCTGGGTCTGTTCCCATTTTTTTTTCTCTTGTGAAGAAAAAGTAATGAAATAATTTATTTCTAAACCTACACACTTCAGGGAACTAAGAAAAACTGACAACCCAAACTTACTAAAGAATGAGGATGTGAATAGCACATTTCATAATAGTGAGTTGGCCAATTTAAGATGCACACTTCAGTCCCTGTATTAGTCTGTTCTGGTTGCTATAACAGAATACCTTAGACTGGGTAACTTATAAACAGCAGAAGTTTATTTCTCACAGTTCTGGAGGCTGAGGAGCCCAAGATCAAGGCACCAGTGGTATCTGGTGAGGGTTCTTTTCCTCATAGATGGTGCCTTATAGCTGGGTCATTAAAAGGCAGAAAAGGCAAACTCCCTCAGGTCTCTTTTTTAAGGGCATTACTCTCATTTATGGAGGGCTCCATCCTCACGATCTGGTCACCTCCCAAAGGACCTCCCTTTAAAACTAGGTTTCAACATATGAATTATGGGGGAACAAACCATTCAGACCATAGCAGTCCTCCTTTATAGCTACTCTACAGAAGGGCAATTTCAGAGGTATTCAACAGGCTTTCCCTGCAATGCACCTGACTGCAGTCTGCAAACTCTAAGACCACTCACTCAGGTTGCTGTTTAAAGGTACTCCCTTTTAACTTTCGCAGAGGAAGCTCATTAAGTATCAGGGAAGATTTCTGGCCAATCCATTTCCCTCTTCTCTCTATTCCCATAGTCTGTACTGGAGAGTGTGGCCTCAAGGTTAAGAGGTTTGCTCTAGAATTTGCCAAGGTCTATGGTTTTGTCCCTTCATAGCCTTCACTGAGGAAATCATGTTATCTCCAGCAAGATTCCATGGTCTGCAGTCTTATCTTAAAAGAACATGAGATGATCAAGAGGCTGAAGAGGACAACATCAATAGACAACTTGTTTGTGGACTGTCTGTTCACCATAAAGCAATCACGTTTTATGAGTCCAGAGGCTAGTTTTTGGTTTCTGTTCATTTTGGGTTTGGGTGTTCCTTCCTTTGTTTTTAGTGACTGTATTTGCGTTGTCACTTTTTATTTGCCCATTAAAATAACTGGTCTTAGAAAGAAATCTTCATTTTTGTCTACATCGTAGAATCAAGATAAGGAATAAAAACAGCTTAGATTGGGGTCAGCAAGAAAATTACTGAATGAGTTGCTTTGTGGCTCTTCTTCCTTCCTCAATGAAGCTAAATATTGTTGTGTCCTTGTAGGAAAATGCTCTAGACCTGGGATGTGGCTGGAAGAGGCAGACCAAGGCTTCCTGAACAAAAGCTTCAGATGGAAAGAACCACAGATCTTGGCAAACTCCACACTCTGTAGACTACTATCCAGATCCAGTGGATTCAATCCATGGATGCTGAAAACATTTGAAAATGTAATTTCCCTTATGAAACTCCCAGGGGATGTTTTCTCTTTAGAGAATATTTCTATCTTCTTCTTTGGAGTGGTGGTCCAAGGAACATTTCTCTCTCATAGCTGCTAAGGAGGTAGTCAGATTAGGTACAATCAGAGCTCACTCCTTAGCTATGAGACAAAATGAGGTTTTCTCAGTGATTTCCAGGATCTCTCCCACAGCTAAACAAATAACCTTGGGTTACTTTTTGGGACCACCAAGAATTAATAAATGGTGTTGGGAAAACTGGCTAGCCATGTGCAGAAAGCAGAAACTAGACCCCTTCCTCACAACTTACACTAAAATTAACTCCAGATGGATTAAAGATTTAAACATAAGACCTAACACCATAAAAACCCTAGAAGAAAACCTATGCAAAACCATTCAGGACATAGGCATAGGCAAGGACTTCATGACTAAAACACCAAAAGCAATGGCAACAAAAGCCAAAATAGACAAATGGGACCTAATTAAACTCAAGAGCTTCTGCACAGCAAAAGAAACAATCATTAGAGTGAACCAGCAACCAAAAGAATGGGAAAAAATTTTTGCAATCTACCCATCTGACAAAGGGCTAATATCCAGAATCTACAAAGAACTAAAACATTTCCACGCAAAAAAACAAACCCATTCAAAAGTGGGTGAAGGATATGAACAGACACTTTTCAAAAGAAGACATATATGAGGCCAACAAACATGAAAAAATGCTCATCATCACTGGTCATTAGAGAAATGCAAATCAAAACTACTTTGAGATACCACCTCACACCAGTTAGAATGGTGATCATTAAAAAATCTAGAGACAACAGATGCTGGAGAGGATGTGGAGAAATAGGAACACTTTTACACTGTTGGTAGGAATGTAAATTAGTTCAACCATTGTGGAAGACAGTGTGGGGTGATTCCTCAAGGACCTAGAAATAGAAATTCCATTTGACCCAGCAATCCCATTACTGGGTATATATCCAAAGGATTATAAATCATTGTATTATAAGGACACATGCACACGAATGTTCATTGCAGCACTGTTTACAATAGCAAAGACTTGGGACCAATCCAAATGCCCATCAATGATAGACTGGACAGGGAAAATGTGGTGCATATACACCATGGGATACTATGCAGCCATAAAAAACGATGAGTTCGTGTCCTTTGTAGGGACATGGATGAACCTGGAAATCATTCTCAGCAAACTGACACAATAACAGAAAAACACCGTGTGTTCTCACTCATAGGTGGGTGTTGAACAATGAGAACACATGGACACAGGGAGGAAAGCATCACACACTGGGGTCTGTGGGGGGAACTAGGGGAGGGTCAGTGGGAGGTGGGGAGTTGAGGGATAACATGGGGAGAAATGTCAGACATAGGTGATGGGGTGGAAGGCAGCGAACCACATTGCTATGTATGTATGTACCTATGCAACAATCTTGCATGTTCTTCACATGTACCCCAAAACCTAAAATGCAATAAAATATATTTTTAAAAATGGTAGGGAGAGGGTCTCCTCTCCAATAACCTCATCACTGTGATCAAGACGAGGGGAAAATATGCAGATACCAAATATCACAAGAAAGGGGAAAGGAAAGATGAGAAAAATCCAAACATGTAAGACAGATGGAATGAGGCAAGCAGCTGGTCTCCAGGCAGATGGCTGGGCCTTACCCCTGGGCTGGGATTCAGGTAGGACTCCAGCCTCTTCACTGGGGACTTATGAGGGCAAACCCCATACTCAAGGGTGCTGAGAGGGACACAAGGGTATCATCAAGGACAGGATCCAGGCACCACACCGAGGGCACAAGGAAGGGCCGGGCTAGATGGCATTGCATTGTGGTGGCCAATCGTAAGGCCAGAGAATAACGTTAGCATGGGGCATTCTTATGACCTCCATGACCTAGGGAAAGCCACTGTACTACTCTAGGCTTCAGTCTTCTCATCTGTAAACGGAGGGTAGTGATGTGTACTTTAGAGAACTGCTGGGAGAACAAATAAAGGACCACATGTTTAGCACAGTGTCTGGCACATAGCAAACACTCCAAAAACGATGGCCATTATGATCACCCAAGTCAGTTGAAGCCAGTTTAATCAGAAAAAGGACACAACAAAAGAACCATATTATCCAGATTAGCTTTGAGAGCAAATTGATTTTTAATCACACACAGTTGAGTTTGAGCTCTTTCAAGTCCTCCTGCCCCAGGCCAAGATTAGTCTTAGCGCCTGGGAGCAGAGTTGAGTCCAGAGGTGATCAATTGGCCCCAGCTGAGAACAAAGAAGGCTAGCAAAGGCTGAGAGCTAGGCAGGGCCTGACACTAGCTTAGCCATCTTTGGGTAGGTTATAGGGTAGCATATGGAAAAGGGATGTCATTTGTTCTCACTTTTGTCTAAGAGCATATCTAAAGAGACAAATTAGAGTTTAAAATAACTTTCCAATCATTAGAATTACTTTTTTTATGATACTTCAAGTTCTGGGTACATGTGCAGATTGTGCAGGATTGTTACATAGGTCTACACATGCCATGGTGGTTTGTTGCATCCATCACCCTGTCATCTGCATTAGGTGTTTCTCCTATCTCCCCCCCAATTCCCCCACCCCCTGACAGGCTCCGATGTGTGATGCTCCCCTCCCTGTGTCCATGTGTTCTCATTGCTCAACATGCACTTATGAGTGAGAACATGCAGTGTTTGGTTTTCTGTTCTTGTGTCAGTTTGCTGAGAATGATGGTTTCCAGATTCATCTATGTCCCTACAAAGGACACAAACTCATCATTTTTTATGGCTGCATAGTACTCCATGGTGTATATGTGCCACATTTTCTTTATCCAGTATATCATTGGTGGGCATTTGGGTTGGTTCCAAGTCTTTGCTTTTGTAAACAGTGTGGCAATGAACATGTGTGTGCATGGGTCTTTATAATAGAATGATTTATAATCATTTGGGTATATACCCAGTAATGGAATTGCTAGGTAGAATTATTTTAAATGTAAAGCAGGTGGCACTGGAAAGGGGCAAGCTCAGTTTTCCAGAAATGTTCCAGTAAGGATGGATATGTGGATGTTCTAACAGGAGAATTCTGACTTAGAAGTGGCGCTGGTTGACCGCCAAGGTGCTGTGGAAGGTAGAGATGCTAAGATACCGTGTTCTGTTGGAATCATTCCAGCTTTTGAGCTGAAACCTAAGAAACTGCCAGCGAAGTTTCAGAGCTTAAACCTGGTCTGGTAGGTTTTGGAACCCTCAAGAGGGTCGCCTTTTTCAGGAGTTAATAGAGATGGAAACCCTTCTGCAGGGCTGTCAGCTTCCCAATCACATTGTGCTGCTTCTGATCTTTGTTAAAAAAAAAAAAAAAAAAAAAAAGAGACAGTGGTGGTGCTAGGATGGAGTGAGGGTGAGGGTGGGGCAGAAGGTGGCAAGAGAAGAGGAAGTGGGAAAAAAATAGATGCACTTTGAAGCCTGCAATTAGTTTGTACCGTGCTATTTCCATAAAGTAGACCTCACACTTGAGATCTGAAAGGTAATCATCAGAGATATCAGAGTCTGACTATAAATAGCCAAGCTCCTGGGCTTATGGCTGCACCCTGGGGAGAGGGGCCAGCAGGGAGGTGCCCTGCTGGGGCTCTGGGGGTCAGGGCCACCCTCCCTCGACTCATCCTTATTAATGCCAACTCCCAGGACAACAGAGCACCTTGATAGCTATTTATGCCCCGATCAACTGTAATTGCTGCACTCATCACAGGAAAGCATGCTGCAGGAAGAATAACTTCACTGGACAAAGCTGCTGTGTCCACCCAGTGGTTATAATCAAAAAGGTGTAATTACAGGTTCCTCCCAGGAGATCCTCTCTCTGGCGTCTCCCTCATTCTAAGATCTGTTTGTCTGGGTTGCCCTTCAGGTAGCTGCTCCTAGCTTCCTCCTTGTAAATCAGACCATTCATCTCTCTATCATGTCCACAGGAGGCCTGAGGAGGGACCAGACCAGGCTGGTTTGCAAACAGAAGCTTGGGAATCCCCAAACACACGCCCCTTGGAACAGGCTCATAATCTGATGGCATCTGCAAGCTGCAGCTCAAGCCAAGACTCCATGCTCTCGGCTTCCCTGCACTGGCTCAGTGGCTTCCGCGTCTGTGCATGTGCATTTATGTGCATGCATGCATGTGGGATGGGACATGTTTGGGTGAGTGCATCTTCAGGTGCACCTAGCACAGTCTCTGGGCTCTACTGATAATATATCTCACACATACTATGTACAGTTATCTGTCAAATGCTACAAATGTTGCAATGAATAAAACACATTTTAAAGCATAGCTTTTTGTCATTACATGGTTTCTTGATGAACCCATAATTAAAGAAAAACTACTTTGACATGGGAGATTTCAAAGTATTTTTAGCATTAGAAAGAAGAAAAATATTAGGAACCACTGCTTTACTAAGCAAAAATCCACATGAAGCCATTATGATGGGACTATTTTTATGCTGTGCACATTTCAGAATCTTAATATAAAGATCAAACTTGCAGCTTGCACAGTTAGTTAACAAATAAAATGTGGGAAGAGATCCTTACCCTGTTCCTGAGTTTCACTCTACCTTTGACTGTACCTCTCTCCATGAGCAGCCTACTGCACAGGGCCAGGCACATAGGAGATATGGCAGGACTTGTTAACATGTTCCCTCCCCGAGCCTCTGCCGATCTTAGATCCCTAGGTCATGTCTAACTTCAGTTTTTCTGATTCTTGTAAACATTGGAAGCCACCCAGGTAAGATCAAGTGGGCTTCAGCAAGAACAAAATTATGCCCCAAGCTCCTTGACCTTCTGAGCATTTCAGTGGTCTTAATGGTTTGATGAAGGGGGTAGAAATGTTGTGGGGTGGGTCTAGCTTAGGTCCCCTCCATATGAGTCATCCCTCTACTGAAGTGTATATTGCAAAGTGTATGGGCTTTGGAGCAGAAAAATATGCATGCCCATCCAGGCTCCATCCATTATTAGCAGCAATTAACCTTAGGCAAATCACTTAGCCTTCATTTACTTGTCTACAGATCACACCTACTGCAGACTAGACATATACGTACTTATTAATGTAAGCTCACTTCCCTTCTCCCGTATTGTTTGCCCAAAATTTGATGGGTCCTTTTGTACTCCTAACTAATTTTGGGACAGCAGACATAGACCTTACCCTAAAGACAGTTATGATGCAAACGGGTGAGTGACATGTGCAGGGCTAGCTCCATGGATGTGTCGCCACTCAGCGTCCTGCGCTCACAAGAGCTCAGTCCTCAGTTTAAGGCTCTGCTGTTACTGTCTTGAATTTTTTCTTGAAACTTTTGAGAAAAGGACCCCTCACTTTAATTTTGCACTGGGACCTGCAAATTATGTAGCCAGTACTGGATATATCTATATCCTGGAGACATATACATATGCACAACACCCTCTAAGAACATACACGCAATTAACTTGTCAGCATGGCCCAAGGACACGCCAGAATGCTGATGGAATACAACGGTAAGAAGAGTTTTCCTGGAATTGATCAGAAGAGGAAGGCAATGAATGATAGAGCTCAAAGAGAATTCCAAACAATATTTCTCAGCATGTTCCAACTCAACAAAGAATAGGCTTCCTTCTGCTCCAGGTTTTCCTGGATCTAGAGAACTATTGGGACCTCTAAGAAAGCTGCTTCCAAAATCTGCCCCTATTTTCACAGGTTAAGTCGGCTGTCCTGAAATTGTTGAAAATTTTGATTTGAGGAAGTGGCCTCCATGGCTTCATTCCAAAACCTGAAGGCTCTGGAATACCTCATTTGACTTTTGATTTATCTAAAATTGTCAAAATGGATTAAATATATGCTTTCTGCTCTTTTACACCTGACATGTCCACCTCTACCCACCCCTTCTACCCAGGCTGTTTCCACATTAGGAATGTGTCTCTTTTCCTCCTGTTCATGTTTAAGTCCTGGCTTTGCTGCTTCCTAGCTGTGTGACTTTGGGCAAGTCACTCAGCCTCTCTGTGCCTCTGTTTCCTTATGTAAAAAATTCCTTATGTAATAATAGAGCTGAACTCATAAGGTTGTTGTGAGAATTTAAAATGTTAATGCATATCAAGATGTTGGAGTAGCACACAGGAAAGTCCCAATAGATGTAATTATTATTATCAGCTTTTAACCCTCCACAGCCCCCTCTAACCTATCATCAAGCCCTATAGTTTCTTCTGTTGGAAACACTCTCACATGTGCCCCAAATGCTCCATCCTCACTTCCATCACTTTACTGCAGGCCTGTCTTCTCTCTCTTGAATTCTGCTGCAGCTTCCAAACTGAATCCTAAGTTCCAATCTCACCCTCCCCACAATGCCTAGCACAACGCTTGGCATGCAGTAGGTGTTCAATATATGTTGAATGAGTGAGTGAATGAATGAGGAATGAAGGACAGCAGTAAAGTGGAAGTTCTAAAGGGCGAGCCTGACTGCCTCTGTTCTGCTGAAACTCCTCAATGCTCAGGACAAAACCCAAACTCTTTAACTGAGGCCTTCTTGCTCTGAGCTCTTCTCAGTTCTTAAGCTTCCCCTCTCACTAGTAACCTCTCTATGCTCACACCCCAGCTCCCCAGTTCCCCAGCTCCCCAGCTCCCCAGCTCCAGCACTGTGCCTATTCATTACCTTTCTCAGAGCTGCTCTCTCTCCTTGGCCACCTTTGCTCATCTGCTACACTCTCTACTGCTTCCCTCTTCCTATCCTATTCACATACTATTCCCATGTCTGGCCATGTCCTGCTCACCTCCCATAACTGAGCTTAGATGTTCCCTCCTCAATCCCCAAGGCTGTATCAAGTCTCCCTGCTACACATCCCAGAGCACATATGGACTTCTACTTCCCTTGTTCTTTTTCTGTCCTTTTTTTGAGACGGGGTCTTGCTGTGTTGCCCGGGCTGGAGTACAGTGGTATGATCATAGCTCACTACAGCGTCGACCTCCAGGACTCCAACCATCCTCCTGCTTCAGTTTTCCTAGAAGCTGGACCTACAGGTGTGTGCCACCACACCCAGCTAATTTTAATTAAAAAACAATAGAAACAAGGCCTTACTATGTTTTCTAGGCTGGTCCTGAATTCCTGGGCTCAAGCCATCCAACTGCTTCAGCCTCCCAAAGTGCTGGGGCGACAGACGTGAACCACTGTCCGGCTGCATTTCCCTTTTCCTTGTCAGTCTCTTCTTCTAGAATTGAAACTCCTCAGTGGTCAAGACTACGCCTTACTTGTTTCCCTATTTTCAGTATCTCTCACAGTTCCTGACATAGAATGGACATTTACTGAACGATGCTTTATCAGACGAATGTTGCCCTGTAATTCCTTTCTTTCCATTTCTGCCATTCCTCTGGATTGTACGGATGCCAAGCGTAGGAGCCTTGGTTTAATTTTATTGGCTTGTGTATCCTCAGGGTCTAGCACAGTGCCAGACCCACCGTAGGCATGCCATGCATATTTATTAAATACATTAATAACTTTTAGATGTTTAAATTTGAGTCTATCAATCTATACATATTTATCATGTTTCTTTCACAGGCAAGATATCCTATTAGCATAAATTGCCAGACAAGACACAATGACAGGCTGAGAGAGAGGAAATTCCAGGCTGAGAAGACAGCAGGGAGACAGATGGCAAACTATTAAAGAACATGGAGACTTTGGGGGATGGTGGAACGCAGTTAGGGTGGGGGAGTGTCATAGTGACACATAAGACTGAAAGGGATTTGGACTCTAATCCATAAGCAATAGGGAGCCATTGCAGGTTCTTGAGGATGGGATAGACAAAAAACAGCCTAGATCTCAGAATAACAACCCCAGGAGTAGAGGGATTCATGGATTAAGGTGGCATGGGATCTGAGGCAAGGAGACCAGGCAGAGGCCACAGCAGCAGTGACAGGACAGTGTGAAAGTGGGAAGGAGGGAGGTGGACTTGAAGGTGACTGCTGACTCCAGGAGGCAAGTAGGGATGGTGAGGAAAATGACTAGGATCTAACCTTGGAGACTAAGAGGACAGCAACATTGTCACATCGGAGGAAGAGCAGGTTGATGGGGGAAAGTCTGAACGTGCTGCTGGGGAACAGGTAATGAGCATCGCTCTTGGACGCTTTGGGGTGAGGGATGAGCAGTCCTTGGAGTATTGCATGGCAGGCAGCTGGAAACCAAGGCTCTGGGGGAGAAATGGGGTCAGAGGAGCTGCAGAGAGCAGTGAAATGTGGCCCCTTGTCTAGTACTGCATCTCCAGGAACGGGTGAAGTGAAGGGTGTCGGGGCTCGAAGGGGAAGCAGGCAAACTGAGGGCTGTTCGGCTGCAGCCTTTCAGGCTAATGTTCACAAAATGTAATCGTTAGTGAACAGTGTTGGAAAACACCAAACTACAAAACCTGACATTTCTGAATAGTAGGCAGGCAGGCGAATGGGGCTCCCAGGATCAGGCTGGGCACCTCTGCCGCTTCCTTCAGAACCTAATTGAAATGCGACGCAGAAGGCGCTCCCACCCCGGCAGGAGCAGGATGCTGTGCAGGAGCTGAGGGGGACTGCAAACACCCTCCCGTGCAGGCACCCCGCTGCCCTGGGTGAACAGGGGCTGGGGAAGGAGAGGGAGAGGGAGGAGAGCGGGAAGGGGTTTAGTGGGGCTGTGGGATATCCTCCCCCCTCAACACACACACACACACAGCACATAAAGAGGTAAGAAAGCCAAAGATTTCTGTCAATTGAGAAAGCTTCTGCAGCAACGGAGATGTCAGCTCAGGAGCCAAACTGCCATTTCTGCTTTAATTGGAGCCTCTCCGTGAAGGTTGGGAAAGCGATGAGAGAGAAGCGGGGTGGAGAGAGGGAGAGGGAGAGAGAAAGAGTCAGAAACAGAGAAAGAGCTAGAGAGAGACACAGCAGCACGACAAAGAGACAGCAAGAGATCATCTGCAGAAGGAACAACCCTCACGCAGTTCCCAGGCAGCTTCTCGAAGCTTCTGCTATGGGTCAGGTTTCTGGCTAGACCACGCAGGGAGGCCACATGTGTGGGGCGGCCTCTTCACGTGGGGCAGAGGCTCTGTACCAGGCGAGAAATGAGAAGAGGAGGGGTCTGGAGTTTATTAATATTCTCTTCCTTCTTTATCATTTATTAAAAAGGTAAAAAAAAATCCTTTTTCATTTTTTCTCCAGTGCCCTGACTACTTGTGAAGCCCACATAGTTCTTGCTGCATCAGGGAAGCTCTGCCCATGGAAAGCCAGGGCATATATAGATCTAATAAAACCTAAGCCTCTGCAGCTTCCTCAGCTTTGCAGGTAACCGATGGAG